TTGTAATTTTTTTTTTTTTTTAATATATATTGATTCCCGAGAGAGGGAGAGAGAGAGAGAAACATCAGTGATGAGAGAGTCATGGATCGGCTGCCTCCTGCATGCCCCCGACCGGGGATCTAGCCCACAATCCGGGTGTGAGCCCTGACTAAGAATTGAACTGAGGTCTCCTGGATCCTAGGTCAATGCTCAACCACTGAGCCACGCCCAGCCAGGCAGATAGCTGCTAATTCTTGACACCACCGTTGGCCCTTCCTCCTTCAGAGGGCCCATATCTGCCTCCTAAGTGTACCCCACTCACCCTCACTAACACTTCAGCCACCCCCCTCTCTTCCACCTTGAGCACAAGCTGTCGCTTCCCCTTTTGTTTCTGTGCCCTGTAAGTTCCTTTTCCTGAACTCCTTCCAGAAGGCCACCTCCATACACCCTCCAAACAGCCTGTATCTGTTTTCATTCTGGGGGGTAGCATTTACTGAGCACATGTGCCAGGTACGGTTCTGTGTGCTTTAAATCATTAGATCGTCTCATTATGTCATGGCTTTATTTGCCATGAGGTAGGCCCTGTTTTCTTCATTTTATAGATGCGGACACTGAGACCAAGGAGATTAAGTGATTTGCCTGAAGTTACCATCTTTTAAGTGGTGAAGCTGGGATTTGATCCCAGGCAGTCTGGCTCTAGGATCTCCTTCCCTCAACCAGATCTTCCAGTCATACTGTACCAACTACATGAGACTTTCTTGACACCATTTTCTGCCATGTTGAATTTGTTAAAGTTCTTAAGAGCATCCCACAAATCTTGACCCACTAAATACCTCAACACAATAGCATCACCATTCTCAAACTTTTCTTGTATATCAGCCACATATGTGGAAGATGATGGGTTTCTGGGATGAGGCAGGGTTTCAGAAATACTGGGAGAACCCATAAGCAGGCTTGGGGCCAAGACCTTCATATACGGTAATAGGAATTACGTAAGAGAAGCACAGATAACCAATGGCATATGGCTGCTGCTTTTAGACCCTCAAGTCCTCTTGAGCACTCAGGAATGAAGTTAGAATGGACACTATGGACAAGGAGGGAAGAGCTATAGGACCTGAGAAGCGAGGGAAAGGGAAAAGGAACTGGGCCCTGTTATAGGCAAGCACTCTGCAGGCACCTTTCACAAGATGTATCTTCAAAGGCGAGAGGTAAGAATTATTGGTGGTAGGGCAGGATCTGAACTCATGGCTCGAAGGGTAATCCTCTTGCCACCAGGCTGAGCCTACATATATACCTTTCTTCCTTTACCCCAGTCCCTGCTACTGATCAGCCAGCCATTTGCAAAGGCTGTAGAGAGCCTGGGCCTGGGCCTAGGCCTGGGCCTGGGCTTGGGGAAGTGTCTCTGTGTCAAGGAGGCAATGGTCCTTTCTAAGGTGTTGCAGTCTGGGATAGCATATTTCTAGTACTTGGCCCAGGAATGATTGTGGCTGGGATATCGTTAACCCTTCCGAGGGGATAGACACAGAACTAGGGACGTGTGGCGTGGGCAGAGTTGAGACAACTCCGTCTTTTGAAGGGGCTGGGTTTCCCTGGTAACATTCTGCAAGTCTTGAGCCCAGAAGGACCAGAGCAATAGGGAAGTGGTAAAGAGAGGCTCATTGTGTGTATGTGTATGTGGTGGAGGGGCTGAGGGGGTTGATTAGGAGTTTCACGTGGAAATTTACAAGGACAGCAACCTTGCCAGTTGGGAAGTAATAATAACGCTAGCTAATGAACCAAGTGCTTATTTTGTGCCAGGCTCTGTTCTAAGTACTTTATAAAAACCAGCTCATCAAATCTATGTGAGAGGAAGAGTAAACAAAAGTATCAGACAAAGTGAGAGCAGAACCAAGAGAAACCAAGGTAGGCTGGAAAGTGAACTGAGGGATGGTGGATATGTGTGTATCTACACACGCTCGGGCGCAAACACAGAGCTATGTATATCTATATAATTTCTTTGTATGTCCTCTGTGGTCAGGTCCAGGGTATTTAAAATCAGACCTTGCTCAGTGACTTTCATTGCCTTTTTTGAACCCTAAAGTTATTCAATTCCTTTTACCAGCACCATTAAGTGGGGTGCTTTGAACATCTGAACTGAGTTCTTCCCCTCCTTAACCCACCTGAAAAAAAGTACAATTTATGGCTCATCTGGAGAAAGGTGATTTGATTCCTGTGTCTGGGGAATATTTTTAGGGAAGCCTAGGAAACCATTTTTCACCTATATTACGTTATGGAATCTGATTTAGACCGTAAAAAAAGAAACGGGCAAAAGGCAGGGCAAAGGTAACAGGATGAGATAATCAGCTTGTGACTTTTTTTAACCCACCCAAATCAATAAGTCAAACAAACTGCCTGAATAACTTATCAGTTGGGGGTTGTGAATTTTATCTCTTATGAGTCAGTTAATTGATAAGGGGGAGCAGTTAAAAAATTTCTTGGTATCAGATTTCGTTTTTATTCTATTGTAGTATAAGGTACAGAGAAGAAGGATTCATTCATATAACAACAGAAACATAGTCATTCCAGGCATGAAGGGTTGGTTATACAAGGTTTTTTCAACAGCCAACCATCAGGCCACAGGCCTTGCTGTGGTATGACAGTTTGTGACATAATATGCTGTCACGTGGGACATCCACCCCTACAATCCCTCTGAACCCTGCCTTTCAAACTTGTCCAGCCCAAGGAACCCCATCTCCTCCCACCTCAAGGAGCCTTGTCCTTTACAGCATCTTCCCTTGAGTTTCTCATCCACAGTCAGACAAGCACAGGTCTCTCCTGGTTGAACAAATCCTTTGGCCCTGTTTTCCATCTTCTTTGAACTTTTAGGCACCACAACTCATCATCTCTGCCCCAAGCACCCCACACCCTTAGCTTCCACAAGTCTGTTAAAATTGCCCAATTTGTTTGCTCTGCAAATATTTACTAGATGCCAATACCGAGGGTTGTTACTAAATACAGCTACATTTCAGGCAGTGGCCTAAGCACTCTTACTAGTATTAGCTCAATGAATCCTCACAACCCTATGAGGCGGGGACTTTATTGTCAAACTCTGTGGATGAGGAATGTGAGGTTAGACAGATGAAGCGACCTGCCCAACGTCACAGGAAAGATCTTTAAAGGGAAGAGCCAGGATTGTGACCCAGGCAGTCTGGCTCCAGAGCCAGCATTTTGTACTATACTGAGGCCTACGGTTTTCTTTTCAGAATGTGGATCTTCTTGTCTTTTCCTCTTTCTTCCCTCTTTGGCCCTTATCACCTGGTGCCTGGATGTTTTAACAGCCATCCAACTGATCTAGCTGACCATAAAGGTTCGCCCTCAACCTCCGTCCATCCCCCATGCTGTGCCACCTGATAATCTGCCTCATCTTGTCACTCCTCTGCCATCAAAGAATATATAATCTCTTAGGGGGAAAAAGACACTCACATATGAGCTCCTGAGATAAACCTATAATGACAGTAAATAAAGTGAGAGAACAAAATGAATTTGAAGATCCCTTCCTGCGAAGAAATTGCATGATTTTCTCAGTGCAAATTATAGACAGGAGTGGACAGGTAAGGCACACAGGACTTCAGGTGAGCACTGAGTTAGAATTAGAAGGGGATGGGTTTTCTGAGGGAAAATAGAGGAGTTAAGAGCTGTGGCCCCAGGCAGTCCTCGCCACACAACCTCCCCTTTATAATATCCCCTGCTTCTTCTCCTCCACCAGTTCCAATCCTGAGCTACCTGCAAGATTTGGCGTGAAGGGGACCTCCACCCTTTTCTGATTAAACCTCTTCTAGACGGATTCCCTTCCTGCGCACTTTCCTGAGCGCTTACCTATACAACACGGTATATGTTCAAGAAACGGGTCTGATCTTCAGAGGAAACAGATTGAAGAATTCCTTAAGAGGCAGGACTTAAAGTATTGGCCTTCATGCAATAGCTTCCAGGAATGATGTTTTATTATTTAAATGTTTGTTTGCTCTTTGCTTCCCATACA